TAATTGAGAAAATGCCAAATATTGTGATTGCATGCTTCAATTGGATACTGGGACTCATTTATCAAAGATCACCGGAAACTGAGAAAGAACTCGCACAACAAATGAAATTTCTACTTACAAAAGCAAACTGTTTGGCTTAGAGAGTGAAAACAACCAGCTCTCTCCAAGTGAGCAAAGTCAGAGTGCGTAGAGATTATGAAATATGGATTAATATATAAGATAAGTCAGATTAAATATAATGCTTGGAATTATTACGCCAAATGAAAATAATCCAATAAAAGATTACTACTGCCAATGCCCAGTTGGTCAAAGAACTAGTGGAATGTGTGCTCATACATCAAGTATACTTTATTATCTTGGCTATCATAGCAATCTTCAAAATCCAGTTGCACCCAAGGACTAAGAAGTTTAGACAAAGCTTGAAAAATCTAAAATCACCAGTTTGAAAACAAACTCGAAGCCTCGCATCATTTTCTTCTTCCTTCTTTTTTCAAAGTGTTACGTTTTCCGGCCCGTCGCCGTATATCTGGCCAATATGTTGTGGTGAACACTTTATGGGAGAAATATGGAAACGGAGCGGGTCACATAAATTCAGGTTCGCTCCTGTCCAGTATCTTGGAAGTTGAAAGAAGTTGACAAACACTTGAATACAAATACTTGGTTCATTTAATATTGAAGAATGGATAATATTATTTACCATAGAGTGTGATAATCAGTACCGCAATGTAAACACTATAGACGGTATTTAGGGAGAAATCTAGTAGTCGGAAATCTCGGAATTAGTAACTTATCCTTAGCTCGAGTTGCTTCTTTTGGATCGTGAATAATAATCAGTTTCACTATAAATAGTATGTAATCATTCTTGATTATGATTAGTTATGTAGCTTCGAAGTTAGTTTTCCCTCTTGGGTCATATCGTCTGCTTTTGGGAATATCCCATAATGCATTACGCCCAAAAAGCTACCTCAAATACCCAAAACATTCAATAATAATTATTGCACTAGTATGAAATGCCTACCCATCGCTCTGGTGGTAGAAACGACATTTATGATGTGTCTGGTTTGTAGAACGCGCAAGTCTTAACTGCTCGACGTCTGTCAGAGCATTGAGTCGCTTTTTCGTGCATCCGCCGGCTTTTATACTTTCCGCCTGGGTTGTATCAGCCAATCAACATTGAGCAATGACGTCACATTTGAAGTCCGCCAAAGTGTAAACTATGGAATTTCTCGGAGTTATAATGTTTCCGACAGTTTAAAATGTACAAAACAATAACACATCACTTATTTAATCTACGAAGGATCTAGGCATACATCGTTTACATTTAAAGGTGAGATATAAGGGTCTGAAATCGTGTCTGAATCGAAGTAGACGAATCTCGCCATTTTGAACGGCATGTTCGAGCCAAAGTTGTAGCTGGAAGATAGATAAACCAACTCATGTCTTATAACATTGATGAAATCTACATATCAGTATATAGTAAATTCGTAACACAAGTCTGCCATTTTAACACATCCCATACTCTTGCATCTTGCAAAACATTATCTGTAAATGTCATCAGCTGTTAGGACTAATACGGCGCCTAACTTTAATAAATATATAAAAACAAAGTAACACACAAACATAAAATCTCTAAATACTATTGATATTGCGAAAGCATTGTCTGGGAATCTGACAACTGATTAGGCAGTAGAAAGAATGTTTTGGTGGCCATCTTGAAAAGGAACATACCAACGAATCTTTTCTAAACATGTTCTCTGTTGATTAAATATTTATTCCACCTAAACTTAAATTATTTTTTTATGTATACAGTCTACCTGCCATAACGGTCACCTTAAATAAACGGTCACCTGCCTTAAACGGTCAGTATATGGTCCTCCCGATGAAATACACTATATATTGAACTCTAATTAAGTGGTCACCTGTCTGAAGCGGCCAACGGCCACTTAATTCGGGTCCCAATTACGATCGCTGTCTGAAAACAGCGGCCAGCCGCCATTTTGTCTAGAAAGGTACACTGCAACGATCACGTGACTACGCTTATTTTTAGTTGCAGTAATGTGATGTTTTTACGATAGTGATTGAAACTCATTGCGGCGATTTTCATTGATACTCGCTAACTCTGGTTCAGGTAAGTGAATTGTTTTTACGGGCATATTTTAGTCACATAATATACTATGGTCAGTAGTTTATGTGTAGATCTCTAAGCGATCGCGTTAAAGTGATTGAATTAGCGGAGCAAGGACTAAGTTCATCCTCATTTGAAATATTGAATTGTTTTCCTGCCAACACTACCAGTCTTTCACAACCAATGGACCAAGGAATTTTTCAGGCGACGAAGCAGAAGTTCCGTAACGTTTAAAAAATATTTTGATACTGAAATGAAATGACCGTACTGAGAGTATTCATATCGCCATCCAATACTACCGCCAACTATCACCTAGAACGGATTTCTTCAATACATAATTCCCTCGATAAATTCGCAACCCTCGCACACCGCCATTCGCTTTGTGCTTTAAAATTCCCTATGTTATCTCCAATTCGGTCGTCGTGGAACTCTCTAATGTTCTATTTTTAGACCCATAGGAAATTCCCATTTTTACTAGCACAGGTAATAGTTACGCTTCGGCGATTTCGTTTATTGATCAAATCGATAGCGGTAGGCATATGTTTTTTTTAGCCCACCATCATCTGATGGTGGGCTATTCAAATAACCCTGCGTCCGTCGTCCGCCGTCCGTCCTTAAACAAATCTTGTTATCGGTATTTCTCAAGAAGTGCCAAAAGGGATCTTTCTCAAATTTTATATGTAGGTTCCCCTTGGTCCTTAGCTATGCAGGGCAACTTTTGAGACTGATCGGATAAACAACATGGCCGACAGGCAGCCATCTTGGATTTTGATAGTGAAAGTTCGTTATCGCTATTTCTCGGGAAGTACTTAAGGGATATTTCTAAAATTTTATATGTAGGTTCCCCTTGGTCCTAAGCTGTGCAAGGCAACTTTTGAGACTGATAGGATAAACAACATGGCCGACAGGCAGCCATCTTGAATTTTGATAGTGAAAGTTTGTTATCGCTTTTTCCCAAGAAGTACTTAAGGGATCTTTCTCAAATTTTATATGTATGTTCCCCTTAGTCCATAGCTGTGCAAGACAACTTTTTAGACTGATCGGATAAACAACATGGCCGACATGCAGCCATCTTGGATTTTGATAGTGAAAGTTTGTTATCACTATTTCTCAAGAATTATCTGAGGGATCTTTCTCAAATATTATATGTAGGTTCCCCTTAGTCCTAAGCTGTGCAGGGTAACTTTTGAAACTGATCGTATAAACAACATGGCCGACAGGCAGCCATCTTGGATTTTGATAGTGAAAGTTTGTTATCACTATTTCTCAAGAATTATCTGAGGGATCTTTCTTAAATATTATATGTAGGTTACCCTTAGTCCTAAGCTGTGCAGGGTAACTTTTGAAACTGATCGTATAAACAACATGGCCGACAGGCAGCCATCTTTGATTTTGATATAGAAAGTTTGCTATCGCTATTTCTCGGGAAGTACAACTTCAACTTTTATATGAAGGTTCCCCTTGATCTCTCGTTGTGCATGTTATATTTTGAGACTGATCATAAAAACAAAATAGATTAAAAGAAGAACTAAACAGATCTTTCTCATATTGCAATGATCGATTCTATTTCTTTCACTTAATTTAAGTACTGTACTAGTGAATATGTGAAATGACAAACTCACTTTGAAGGTTGGCTTTCATACACATCAGTATTTAGTTTAGATCAAAAGTTACCTTAAGTTGCATTTAATGTTAACATGACTCGATCAAACAGATTAGAGGAAAGAAGAGAAAAGATCGAACTGACAAAGTACTAATGAAGATGGTACAAAGGTTTTTATAAAACAATGGGTGATTTCTACTTATATTGTGTTTGTGTTGTACACCTGTATGTCAAAGTTTTGCCTTGTAACAAGTTTTTCTTTTAATATTTCTCCCATTCCATTGCAGTTGAGGCATATATGTTGAGTGAAATGGCCAGACTCTACAGGGTCCGATTTACTCAAACAGACATCGACGTTATAATAATTGCATTGATACATGCATATACATGTGTACATGTACATGTATCAGAACTTTTCAGGTCAATAGCATTTTCATTATACATGTACCTGTACATGTAAATTCTGGTACATGTATTTATGACTTCATGTACATGTAATTTTTATGTGAACATTTTGTCTTCTAAATGCATAAATACATGCTATTTTCTAATTGCTTGGCATTACATACATGTATTTAAAATAAAGTACACTTGAACCTAACTATAAACTTTTGTATCTGGATTATTAGTCACATGATCTGACTGCACCTGATTTCAGCAGCCACCTCTCTTATGCAGCCATTTTCCCTTAATCCCTTAAGTGGCCGCTTAATACAGGTTTGACTGTATGTAAAGACCATATGGTAATTTGATCCTTTCTTTTATTATGTTCCACCACATATTTTGGATTGATATTTTTGTCACTGGTAGTTCATTCCCTAGTCCTTCTATAATCAAAATATTTTTGGTAAACAATAGTCATACGATACATTTATTCTAAGATGTACACATTTTTTGTCTGGAAAATATCATTGTTTGAGATGGCTTCCGGCTGTTGATTTGTCTGTAAATATCTGATAACTCACCATATCAAGATACTTTTACATGTATACTGTAGCATATGATTCCTAGTTTTATTTGCATAACAATTACTTTTCAATACATTATAAGTATGACAACATGCGTCTTTTGGGATTCCAGTTTTATGCTCTTACGAAAAACGAACCAACTGCTCATTTGTATTTTTGTTGGTGTTTTAGTTGTGATAAAGTTAAGGTCTACACCTCAATTTCCCCCCCCCCCCCCCCTTTAGCTAATGTTTATTCAGAAAGAAAGAAAACCCATTAAGTTAGCATTTGGGCAAGGTGAGCTAAAAATCAAACAAATACATACCAAATGTTTTGAAGACGGATTTTCTGCAGTGAAAGCTTGCTAATATCGTTGTGCAAACAAGGAGATAGATTCCGTACACCCTGACTTTCCTAATGTCTGTACACACAGGTAACTAAACACACAATAAAGTTTTGTTTGAATGCACGAGTATTCGTCTCACTCATTTTTATCCTGTGCGTACGTACTGTTATTTGAGATATCGATCAACTCTATTCAGAAAACTTAAATTACGCAGGTACAAATTGCAAATTTGAACAAAGAGGGGTATTTTTAGTAACTTACGCATAATTTAGGTAATACACCATTCAATACTATTGCGGACGTCCAAGTGGCGAATACAATCTCTTTATGAATTCTTCTTTACACGTGGCAATTTATCTACGTTCTATATAGTACTCGGAACATTATCAAAAGAAGCGTCCCTAGGTGGTGAGGATTCAAAATTGTACAAATCGTTGGGCTGACCTCCTAAGGGGCTGAGGGGCGGGGACAAAAGGGGGCGATTTGGCTATATTTCTATAAACGACTTCTTTTGTAGAACTATACGATAGATATTTATAATATTCTTTTTCTGTACCATTGGAGGGATTTCCCACAAATTTTGCCTGGATGATCCTTGGGCAAAGGGGAGTCAATTTTATATAAACAGGGTGTGGCCCCTCTGGGTGCAGAAAGAAGAGACCAAATTAGGGACGGGTGTTGCTGAGAGACAGAGCCAATAATTGGAAATAGTTGAAGTATTATATGTAATAAAAGAAAAAATCCATGGTTGCATGCATTATTAGCTCACCTGGTCCGAAGGCAATTTGTCTATATTGCTTTAAGCGACTTCTTCTCTGGAACAAAGTGATGGATATTAACCATATTGGACTGGAAGCATCCCTAGGTGGTGGGGATTCAAAAGTGTACAAATGGTGGGGCCGAGGGGCGGGGGCAAAAAGGGTTATTTGGCTCTGTTGCTTTAAGCAGCTTCTTCTCTGAAACTAACTGATCGATATTAACCATATTTGACTGGAAACATCCCTAGGTAGTGGGGTTAAAAAATGGACAAATGGTGGGACCGACCCCCTAGGGGGCTGAGGGGCGGGTCAAAAAAGGGTTATTTGGCTATATTGCTTTAGGCGACTTCTTCTCTTGAACTGAGAGATTAACATGAACCATATTTGACTTGGAAGCATCACTAGAAAGTGGGAATTCAAAATTGTACATATCGTGGGGCTGATCCCGGAAGGAGCTGAGGGGCGGGGCCGAAAATTGTTATTTTGCTACATTGCTTTAAGCGACTTCTCTCTGGATCCGGAACAAGAGATGGATATCAAACATATTTGACTGGAAGCATCCCTAGGTAGTAGGGATTCAAAATTGTACAATGGTAGGACTGACACCCCCATGCGGTTGAGAGGCGGGGCGAAAAGGGGACAATTTGACTTTATTGCTATAAACCACTTCTGTAGATTGGTTTGGTTTAGTATTGTTTAACGTCCTATCAACAGCTATGGTCATTTAAGTACGGCCTCCCACGTGTGCAAGTGCATGCGTGTAGAGTATGCGTGTGTGTTTTCGGAGGCTGCGATATGTTCGTGTTTGTCTCCATTGTGATAGCGCGAAACTGATGCCGACTTTATAGTGCTACCTCACTTAAACATACTGCCGGCAGACACCCAACAGGACAACCCACCCGTTCACATTATACTGACAACGGGCGAACCAGTCGTCCAACTCCTAAATTGCTGAGCGTTAAGCAGGAGTAGAAACTACCATTTTTACAGACTCTGGTTTGTCTCGGCCAGGGGACAGAACCCAAAGTTTTCCTGACAGGGGCGAACGCTCAACTAAAGGCCAAAAGGTTCCACTGTACTTTGAAAAGGTTGAGATCCCCACCCTATAACCATATATGAGTCGCCGGCTGGGATTAGGGTCCTTTAGCAGTAAGAAATCAGTGTTGTGATTTTCATGATTTAGAAATCTAGAGACATTTCTGATCAGAATGATATAAAAAATATGTCAGTCCGTCAATATTTTAAGATTTGACGCCACTTTAAAGATACGTAATACATAGAAGTAGGCTGTTTGACTTCTGACGTCGCTTACAACGTCATTATTTCTAACGTTACTTTTAAGATTGATACCGGCGGGTAACATATGTATATTAACTTTAACTGCTTATGTCTGGCTTCACTCCAGAAGTTTAAGCATGATTGTAAAGAAAATTCCAGAGCATTTAAATGGAAATAACTTAATATGTTATTAAGTCATACACAATTACTGAAATGTAAAACAAATAGGGTTCTATATGACCATGGTATAAATAATACTTCTGTACTTTTGAACTTTGTAGACTAACATCTCTACAGTTTTCTTCCGGTTATAGCTGTGACAAAAATATGTTTACAACAAAAACTTGTTGAATCAGTGAATCAGTATTCACAAATCTATACCATTTTGTAATGACCATGACATACATGAAATTAATTTGTGCGAGTGTTGACGTTGCAAGCGTGGTCACTGTATTTTACGTCGCCACTTTTAATGTGAGTCATGCCCAACTCAACGAGTTTTTAATGTATTGAAGAGATTATATCTAAAAATGCAACGAAGAAAAAAAAGCATGGCCTTCTGTGTTACGGATTAATTTACAATTTTTATTTCTCTTTAGCGTATATATTCTTGCGACACTTTGGTCAAAACTCATACAGTAATTAAAGATAAACTTTATTTATTTTACAACAACATGAAACAACATATTTCAGCTTATATTGGGGGCGGGGGTATTGGGGGAAACTGGGTACCCAGAGAAAACCAACGGGCAGGTGACCCCATATCTGTTCACGTCCGATAGGGGAATTGAACCCCTGCCGCCTTGGTGAAAGGCAAGTGCGCTATCCACTTCACCACCCAACCACACAGTACAGCACAATCCTGTGTAATAAGTATTTGAGTATTATATTTTAGTTGAAAATGCTGGTATACTTAGTCTCAGACTTTCCCATGTAAATATTTGAGGTTAATGAGGTCACTTGTTTCAACAGTACCACTTTTCATTTGAATGAAAACTTTAAAATCTTGCTGTTTTAATTTAGTGATTGTTTTTCTGAAATATTTGTTAAACATCATTTCCAGAAAACAAAACAGGCATTTTAGTTAAGGCACAGAATATGTTATTCAAATATATTCAATACTGGGTTTTTTTGTAGATAATAAATAACAAGTTATGATTTGTTCATTATCCCATCATTTTATTGGCCAAGGAAAATTCAATACTCTTATCACATCACTACACATTTTGGCCTCACTTCCTACATCCAGTAAACACTTTGACATGATGAAAACCCTAGAAAACTTGTACAGCCACAGAAAGACCGTCCTTAGGCCAGTACAAATGGACTGAATAGTCACTGAAATGCACTATTAGTAGATTTCAAACACAGTATGTCATCATTCCTTTGTTTGGATAGATCACCAATATGAGCTTAATTACATCTAGTGTAGGCAAAGAAGTTCCCTGGCCTTTTTCACCACTTTCTAGAAGACCTTCAGGAATGACTTTCCCCCCCACAACTAGTCTCACATCAGTCTCCTCCCCGCCAAGTGCAGGTTTCACCTTAAGTTCCCCTAAAACCAATTTATATATACCTGGTACATACAAGGTGTGGTGATCATCTATGCATCACAATATATACAATTTTACAGCTATATTGTGAAATAAACCAGTTTTATAAACAAAATGCATTCTCAACACATTCATTGGACGTGAAAAACAACATTGTACAATCGGAAACGATGGATTTCAGGAGGCTAAATTACCGAGTTATCTTGAGGTATTTAAGTTTTATGAGTACATGGATCTCTCGCGTGTCACATATGTCTTCGATCGTATATCTGAACACGGCCAGCCCGGATCATATTGCTGTATAAACATTGTTTTACTGACATGCTGTGACGGTATAATCAATTACGTTAACAATGAGACGTTTATATTACGTATATTTAAACCAGATGGTGCCCCTAAAAAGGTAGTCTATGACAAAATAACACAAGAAAAGTTTACTGAATTGATATTTAATATAAAATCAATTACTATCTCGTAAAAGATTGATGAATCGTATAGAACACGTATAGAGACATATTGGTCAGAAAAGATTTTACCAACGATCAAGCGCGGGGTGTTTTACAAAAAAGTTTGAAAAACAACAATTGCAAATCAATGAATCACATGATCAAGTCTCAAACTTACGAAGGTCCCTATCGAATTCAGGGTTTATGTACTTTATACCATTCAACAGTCTCAATACTATTATGTACCACGTAATTAGATTAAGTCTAAGTTCGTGGATGGTGTACGTAGAAAAATGATTGTCCAAAAGGTTGAAAAACAACCATTTCGAAATAATGAATCACACTATCAAGCATCAAACCTCACAAGTTCCCTTGCGAGAATTGTCAACATTTGATAAAGCTCTAAAAGTTAAAAAATTCCCAAAACATGTGTGCTAGAAAACCGACTTTTGTTTTTACTTCTACGAATGACATAACAATACCGCAGGAATCGCTAAAAATATGAAAATGCCGACGGTATTAAGCATTAAGCTTTATTAAAACTTATTATTTTTATCTTATGTTTATTTATAAATCTACAAATATACAAGAGGCCCATGTTGCCCTGCCGGTAGGGCGTAAGAATTGTACCTGCTGCCCCCAATTGCATGATCGTAAGAGGCGACTAAATTTGGGACCTTATCTCTTCTCTCCTTTCTAAATAACTTTCTTTTTCCTAATGTCTCCCTTGACAATGCCTCACTTTTGGCCATTTGTTGAGCGTTCGCCCCTGTGAGGAAGGCTTTGGGTTCTGTCCCCTGGCCGAGACATACCAAAGTCTTTAAAAATGGTAGTTTATACTCCTGCTTAACGCTCAGCAAATTAGGAGTGGGACGACTGGTTCGCCCGTTGTCAGTATAATGTGACCGGGTGGGGCGTCCTGCTGGGTGTCTTCGGCAGAATGTTTCAGTGAGGTAGCACTATAAAGTCGGCATCAGTTTCGCGCTATCACAAGGAGACAAACACGAACATATCGCAGCCTCCCAATATACACACACATACACTACACGCATGCATCTTGCACCCAGGGGAGGCCGTCCTTAAATGACCTTA